GGGGACGGGGGGGGCGGGGGGAGGTGCTCCTGATACACAGGTGTTAACCTACTAGTTTGGGGACGTGCGGTTCGCATACCCACCCACGGGGGATGGGGAAGGGCGGATGTCGAAACTCGGCTTGCTGTGTGCCTCCTGGGTTCGGCGTCCCCTAGGAGATGGGCGACCGCTCAGCTGCAGGAGTGCGCATCTTCAGGGCCCGGGAGCCGCCTGCAGCCCGCCACCATCCAGACACCAATTACTCGCGCCAGAAGCTGCAGACCTGTTGCAAGTTTGGTATTCAGGCTGCAGACGACCAGTCTTCCCGGAGAAAGGGAGGTAAGTTGGCAGGTTCGAGCCGCCGGCAGGCCCCAGAATAGCCAGGGGGCTGGGGGTAATCACCCAGTGTTAAAGTCTCTTCTACCGGTTGCAACCTCTCAGAGAGGCGAGGGCGGGAGGGGCGCCCTGTGGGAGCGTCCATTGGAAAAGCGCACCTGGCGCAGTCTGGTCCTAATTTTACCGTTGCACGCGACGAACGCCCGGGGAGCCTATCCTCGGAGCCTCCCCTTGGGATGGGTGAGGATCCCCCTGCGGAAGGGTCCGCAGGAACTCGAGCTTTCCGTTCAGCACCGGAGCGTGGACAGCGCCTACCTGGCGGGCTCTCGGGTAGGTTTCTTGGGCTCCGCCGCCCGCCGTCCCGCCAGCCCGCTCTGGCTGCTGGCGCCCACAGTCCCTCCAACCCCATGTGGAGAGGTCTGGAGGCGAAACTCAGCTTTCGGAGAGGAAGAATCCATTCATCGCCTACGTTTCATTGCCAGGTTTAGGTACCAGACTCTAAGAAAACATTCTATCTGCCCTTTGATACAACCAGTAGGAAAACGGGGCGCAGAATGCTAGCAGGTGGTCCTGGTTAAGAGGCACGCCGGTGAGCGCTATACGCTAGCGGCTAGGCGACTGGCGACCTACTGAGGTCTGGTGTGCCCCCCAAAATCAGCACTACCAAGTCCTGTGCTCGCGCTCGCACGCTCTGTCTCTGTCTCCCCACAATCTTGGTCAGTCTTAAAGGGGGGGTGTGAATTAAAAGGAGAACATAGGAGTGCGGAGATCATGTGTGAGGCAAGATAAGCATTTTTATCCGGGCCCCCAACTGTAGATGAAATATGTTTAAAATGAACACCGAGGTCCCTGTTTCTAGCCCAAGAAGCTCAAAGGACTCTGTATGGGGAGCAGAGACCACTTTGCTAGTAGGGGGGAGGGTGGCGAGAAGCCGCAGAGGGGAGATGATATCACAAAAGGGTTGACAGAGGTGGGGGAGGAGGAGAGCCGACCAGAATGGGGCACTAGAGTGTGGTTACCAGGCAACCAGATGCGATCCTTGCTTCCTGTTGCCTTGGTTACAGCTAGTGGAGAGGCTTTCACCTCGGTTCTTCCCGAGCACCCAGCTTCTTTTAAAATATCTGCTGGGGAGTCCCCAACCCCGTCCTGGGGCTGGGTGGGAGACACAATGGTTATCTCACGGTCTACGCCCCCTCAGGGGGAGGGAGGGTAAAAAATTCTGGAAGGTGATTTTTTTCCTTTTAACTCAAAGGTTCAAACCAAAGCAACTACTTTTCCATGGTTGCAAAGGACGCTTTCCGTTAGAGAAGTAATCGTATCTTCAGTGGAGCCCTGGTGGCGCTGTGGGTTAGGCTGCTAATCGCCAAGGTCAGCCGTCTAAACCCGCCAGCCGTTCAGTGGGAGAAAGATGAGACTATCTGTTCCCCTAATGACATCGGCGCAGAGACCAGCAGTAGCTTCTGGAATTTGCAATTTGGGGTTTCTCACAACACATACACGCACGCACGCACACAGAAACTACTCTCTGCTCCACTTTCCCCTTTTTTTCTCCAAATGATAAGAGCCACATTTGCTCTTTATAAATGAACAGAAGTGAAATAGAAATTGCCCAGGAGTGTCCATGGTAGAGAGAGGCTTTCTCCTTAGTTTGGTAGTCCCCCTTCCCCTCCTTTATTGAAGTGGCCTGGAGGGTTTGGGTTCTAGAAAGGTCCTCTTCTCACCTCCTTCCGCAGACTGGACCAGCTGCACGCTCAGGGCAACACCAGGCAAACAGCATCCGGCATCACCTACATGTATGCTGTTGCGATTCTCACATCTTTTCTCTCTCCCCAGCCCTGGGCTGACAGATTCTGCACCTTTGCTCCTTTCCAATTCTGTTGATTGACACATTCAAACAGTTTCTCCCTTGGCCAACCTTCCTTGCCTGTGTCATGTGTGACGTCTGGGTGGGAAATCATTTGACTCATAATTTTCAGAAGGCAGCTGTAATATATTCAGAACAATGTATGGGGATATCACTGCTAGCTTAATAGAACAACACTTTTGTACGCCTTCATTTCATCTGTCCAACTAGTCTCTTCGATAGGTGTAGGCTTTGAAGACAGAGAAAAATTATGGGGCACTGTTGAAGCCCAGGATGGTATAGTGGGTTTCAAGTTGGGCTGCTAACCTCAAAGTCAGAAGTTCAAGACCACCACCCATTCTCCTTGGGGAAAAGGTGAGACTTTCTACTCCCGTAAAGTTAGTCTTGGAAATCCATGGAGGCAGTTCTACTCTGTCTGATTGGGGCACCATGAGTCAGAATCAACTTGACGCCAGTGAGTGAGGGCTTTTTTATTTCATTGAGAGAATTTCTCTCTAAAAACAAGATACTTTCTCTTTCCAAACCAAAGCCTTGCCTTAAATTGAGCTGTCACCTAGTAGAGAAGAGCTCGTGGCACAGTAGTTAAAGTGCAGTTCAAATCCACCAGCCTGTCTTCTGGTAGGAGATGTGGCAGTCTGCTGCTATAACGTGTGCCCCACCTTGGAGACCCTGTGGGGCAGTTCAACTCTGCCCTCAGGCCCCCGGAGCCAGAATGGACTCCTAGGCCCCGAGTGTGGTTTAGGCTATCACTCGACAACACAGGGCTGGCAGAAATATCCAGATTCCCAGCAACAACTATTCTTTTTCTATGATGCCCTTTATCGGCAAACATCCCCTATTTTTCCTCTCCTCTCTTTTGCCTTCTTCCTTCACCCATAACTAGAATAATTTAAAAATCATTATCATTTTGATGTTAACTTTAAGACAGAAATGTCCCCCTGTGGTCTGACTAGGTATAGTTTTAGGTTCATTGACATTAAAATATCTCCCCCATCATATGTTACTATAGAAATTCTTGTTCATTCAGGCCAAACAGCTGGTCTGGTTTTGTTTGTTTTTTGTATTTTCTTCCAAATGAAGGGCCTTCGTTCGTGAACTCTCAGGGGCAGCCACCGTGCCCCACATCATGAATATCTCACAATAACAGTGCAGGAAAAAATAGTATTCTCTTTCTGCCCATTTTCTTTAGGGACAAAGGGTCTACTTTCAAGAAGAGAATTGGGATGGTATTGCCCAGTAAGGGAGAAACACTCTCTCATTGGTTAGCGTGCCCTGCTTTGCCAACCAATCAGAGAATGACATGTATCTCTTTCTGACTCCCTGAAGGAGCCGGGTATCCAGCATGATGGAATCTGCCTTATTTCAACCAGTGCCAAAAGATGGAGCTCAAAGTTCAAGATCCAAGATCTAGGATCTGCTTTGGTTAATCCAGATTGCATTTGACCAGCAAGAATGAAATGTCCACCTAGGTATTTGTAACTTTCTTGAACATGCCCGACTAATGTATGGTTATAGAAGCCCTTTTTAATTTCACACGTGCACGCGCACGTGCACTCATCTAAATCAGGGCATGTTGATGCACTGTGTGTCTAGGAGTCCTTGGCTGATTTCCCCTAAAAGCGTAAACTTGGCCTTCGCCCTTAGTGACTTAGTGAAAACTCTGGGTATTAAAGATGGGAGGCTAAAAGGGGGATGAGCTGCTTCTCTGTGTCAAACAAATGTCTCAGCGTTTTGGACCCTCTTTGCCTAGCTTTGGGGTCCTCAGATGGTTGTATGTGAGAACTTTCCCACTTACGTTATCTCCCTCTTCACAGCTTGCTGCCCTTTGACATCCATGTCCAGTGGATGGAAGGGGATGGTGGTCCTGTCATTCGATATGAGCTGAGCCATCGCTTCCCAGACAGGTTTGTGGCCTGTAGGTGTTAGGTGATTCCGGAAACGGGAGATTATCCTGGTCCCTCATGGACTTGAAGTTGAACGGGTCTGTTTCTCTCCTTGTCCTTGGCACAAAGTCTTATTAAGGGATGCCGGCACTGAAGGCTGGTCCTCTTTTTCTTTTTTCCTTTGGATACTAGAAAACCAAAGAAATGGATTTGCATCACACCACTGCAGGTTCCAATACCTATAGGTACAAAGAAAGATGCGGCCACTCCCATGTCCCAGAGGCCCAGTGCGGCAGAGCACGTTTCTGAGCAGGGCACTCGTGGAGGCACTGTCTGCCCCACCAATAGGTCAAGGCCAGCAGATCCTCTCCGAGGACCCTAGCACACCAGGACAAGAGTTGTGGCATGATGCGACTCTAGTCCTCTTTTTCTAAAAGAAAGGAGAGAGAACGTTCCATCCTTCCAAGACAGGTCATGTGACAGTGGGCAGAAAGAACCTTTGCATGAGCAGCAAACCCCCTGGTCAGTATGACCTTGGTCTGTTGCTAGAGTGGATGCTGGTAGTGGACCAGTGGCTTGACCATGCTGATGCTGTCAGTAGCCCCTCCTTTCCTGGCCCATCAGTTCCAGGCATTCGGCAGGATCCAGTCTCCGTGCTAGCAGCCTAGAAACCCTCACTGTGAGGTAGCATGTCACATATGGAGTCCCTGAGTGGTGCAAATACCGAGCACTCTCAGCTGCCACCCAAAGGTGGAGGTTCCACTCCACTCAGGGTGCCTCAAAAGAAAGGCCTGGTGATCTATTTCTGAAAAATCAGCCACTGAAAACCGTGCTCTCAAAACAAGTGGCCACCTGGAGTCAGAGTCACCGTGAGGCCAACTAATTACTAGTTCCCTCATAGACATCTTGGAAAGGAACCCTGGTGGTGATGCGGGTTAAGCAGTGGGCTGTTAGGACAAGGTTGGTGATTCAAACCTACCAGTGGCTCCTTGGGAAAAAGATGAAGCTGTTGGCTTCCATCAAGATGTACGGACTTGGGAACCCTAGGGAACAGTTCTACTCTGCCCTACAGGGTCTCTGTGAGTTGGGATAGACTTCACGGCAGTGGGCCTGTGGGATACACGTTCAAGTTCATTTTGGGTCAGTAGAACTGTCAGAGGAAGGTCAAGAGGCATTTGAATTGAACTCTCCTGCCCAGTGCTAGGACCAGTCCCTTCCCCAGAACAGGGACTCAGCACTGCACCCCATTCCACTGCTGTCTCCCGCTGCTTCGCTTTGGTGTTGGTAGTTGCTGTTGAGACAACATGTGCTAATAAAGCCCTATCAAAAAGCTCCCTCGCCCTCTTCACAAAAGATCAATGAAGGCTTAGTTAATTGTTTCCATGGTTACGTGGAGTAGCCGCATTGAAGATCCCTGGCACCCATTACCATCCTGAAGTGAGCGAGATGAGAGGATTGGAGGAAACCATGGAAACAGGATTGCTAAGCGGACAGCTCTAAGTTCAGCAGAAAGAAGCTAGAGGTGGGGAGTGAAAGTGGGTGGGCTTAACATGCTTTTCTTTGAGACCGGTGTGCAGCCTCTTTGGCTACTTGCATCTTCTCCACACACAGACAGAGCCCCGCGTCAAAGCATTTTAAAACCTGGCACACAATCAGGTTCAAACCCGTCTTCACTGGCCTACCAAGGAAAAGGCCATGGGAAAAAGCTCTGCCTCTCAGCCCCCCAGTCTCACACTCTGAGTTAGTGTACTACACTCTATGCTAGACAGGCGGGCAGAACTGTCCGCAGGCAGTCACTGTTCTCGTGGACAGGGACTGGTTTAGAGCCAGAGCCCTGGGCCGGCTTGGACGGATCTGCAAGTCAGTGTCCAGGGAGCTGTGACGCTTCTCTCCAACTGCTCTGTGTAATGCCCTCTGTGCTTGTCTGTTTCCATCTGGCGTTTATTTGTGAGCTCCGGTGTTCCTGGGAATCCCAGGGGTGCTAGCCGCTCCTGGTCCCACCTAGCGCCTCATCCTTGTTCTCTGGGTTAGCACTGTGATCTTTGTCTCTGAAATGGTACAAAAGGTGTACTGGTCCTCTCCCTGCGGTAGCAAAGAGACAATGCGTTATTATTGTGTTGATTTATATTAGAGGCAACAAATCATTCTCCCTTGATGAGTTCCATAAGTTTCAGCTTCCTGGCAGCTTAAGGTTTCTGAGGTAGCGTCCCACTGGGGAGGGGGTGAAGGGGCTGTGGAAGGGAGTCTTGAGAACTTCTTGGGAAGGGATAGTCACCATTACAGCTTCCAACGGAAGAACTTCATGGATTTCCCCCCCAGGCCCACAGCAGGGCTGTATCCTCTGTAGGGTTGAGAGCTAGAAGGTGCAGGGCCCCCAGGGCTGACTACTGCCAGTGCCACCCCTAGCCTGCTACATGGATCCCTCTGCCCTAGGGTTCTCTGTCTCCAGGCAAATGCACCTCCAGCAAATGCATTCTCGATAAAGAGAACAGACCCAAGGACGGAGGGGCAAGGTGAAAAGAGAAAGAGCTAGCAATTAAACAGAACACGAACTAAAAGCAGCAGCAACAGGAATGGGCCAATTATTCTTCAGCTGCTGCAGAAATACAATTAGGGTTGTGCTCCCTGAGCCGCCAGGATATTGTGGCTTTTGCTAATTAAGGAGCGGATGTGTCCTGCCTGAGCAATTAGAGGCTGGCCCCCTTTTGCCTCCTCCAGCAGCAACCCAGGATGGGGATGTTAAAGAAGGAAGCCCAGTAGCAGAGGGGGCAGGGGGCTGAGCCAGGAGTCCACCCTCCCTTCCCACCCACCCATTTCCCCTATCCCTCCGTGGATGAGTTAGTTGATAACCTTTCTGTTCTGTTTGCATTGACCAGGAAACCACGTTTAATAAAGAAAGCAGACCAACGGAACGGGATCAAGATAGAAAAGAGGACAATACTTTCTCCTCCACTTGACCATGGACTTCAGAGAAGCCCAAGGTGTGGGTGGGTGGGTGTGCACGGAAGGACCCGGATGTCATGCAGGCCCTGCGTGGGACCGACTGGTGGAAGCCCCAAAGCTGGAAGTGGAGGGTGATGGCCCCCAAAGACCTGGCAGAACCGGCCGGGATGTGAAACCATGGCTGGCCCCATCTGGAAGACTAGTGATTTTGTTGTTGTCTCGCTACTGATCAACAACAAGTCCCAGTCTGCCACACGGGGCTGGCCACCACAGCGGCAGGGGGTGGTGGGGTTCCCACATTTCTTTTCCCCATGTTTTTTAACCTTGTATTGTGTAGTGAGTGAAGGGGGTTTCCCCAGCAAATATGCGTTACATTCAACACTGCATACCTTTTCCCCTGTGCTTGACTGCAATCCCCACAAAGTAACATCACATCCCCCCCCACCCCCACCCCCCCACCCCCGCTTCCACCCTGTTTCACCCATGCTTCCATCCCCGCTCAGTCCTCACCCTCCCTGCCTTGTGGGCAGATGCTGCCCATTGGATCTCAAGCAGCTGGTTATTCTGAGTGTGTCCTGCCCTGTGCTACTGTTTACCTTATAAGCTTGTCTGTTGTTTGACTGAAAATTAAACCACAGGATGAGCCCAGTTTTAGGCCTGATTGATTGTTGGAGGGTGGGCACCAAAAGGGCCCTCACTGCCAGGTCACTGCTGCCGGATTACAAGACACCAGCTAGATTAGAAAGATTCTAAGTTTTATTTTTACCCCAGTGAGAAAAGAGACCGGAGAGCCTCCCTCCAATTGCTGGTCTCCGTCCCTTTGTTCTCTTAGGATGTAGCTCTATTCCAGTCATCACTATAGCTACACCTTCACCTCTATCTATAAGTATGGAGAGGCTGATGAAACAGTTTTGCAGCCAGACACAACTCTTGGAATGACAGGTACAAGGTAGGAAAGCAAAGTTTGTTTTAACAAAGATCTCGTGGTACAGAGTTTCCATGACTTAGGGACCCTAAATCTTGAGGAGACAGACTGAGGACGTAAGTCCTGGCTCTTAGTGAGAGGAGGGAGGGAGCCTGGAAGATCCATGAGCACTTAGATCAGAAGTGGCTTAGCTAATACCCAGAGACTACCCCGCATACTCTGAGAGGCAGGAGAGAGGGGTTAGCTCAGGGCCACAGGTACTGCGGATTGTTAGCCAAGTTACATCGAAGCCAACTACATACTTCTCCTAGTCACCCCATTAGGTGGCGAAGAGGTTCCACTCATTTCTGGCCAGTAAACCTGGTTAGTTTATGGTTTTGAGTTCCATTCCCCTTTGTCCCCCCACCTTCTCCAGCTCCTTTGAATGTGATCCCTTTCAGAGCACTTGGTCTAGGTAGCCGGGCCCCGACTTCTTCTGATTCTTCTGGTCTCGGGGTCATGGACACTGACGTTAATGTTGTTCCTTTGTTCTTTGGGTTAAATATTTCTGAGCATCTTTGACCTTCTTCAAGACCCCAGTTGCTACTCACCCAAGCTAGTTGTAAAACATGTTCTTTGTTAGCTTTGTTATGCCAATTGTCCCCCATGGATGTGGCCCTGCACCCCCATGCCCAGAGACTCAATCCCTCGAGGTGTTTTTGGCTAGGAACTTTTCAGAGATTTGTCCCTTGTATGCTCTACTATATTTGTGGGTATGTTTGCAGATGACGTGAAGAGTCTATAGATCTCCTTTGTCAAAGCCTATGCATATTTGTGAGTGGGTCCCATCCTCCTCCCACACTTGTTGGGCTTGTGAGTCTGTATTTGCTGGTAGATTGTTGTCATTGTAAGACTGTGAAGATAATAAAAGTTTCCTTTTCCCATATCTCAGGACATACCAAGAGGCTACCTCAGGAATCCCCCCTGACCACTCCATGGCATTTATACTTCAGATGAATCTTCTAGAAGCAATGATTCCAGTCTCCATAGCTTCAACACCAATGACTAAGGGGCAGGGAGAGGGAATTCCCCTCCCTCAACCACCTTACTGCCATTTTCCATTTTCGCTGGCCACCTGCAGTGTGAGGTTCTCTTGACCCCATACCTGGGGCTTTCGGGCCTGGGTCGCTGGCTGGCTGGGGCTGTGAAGGTCTGGGACACACATGCTCATGCTGCAGGAGTCCTGGCAGCCATGTGGGAGGCATGCCTATGTTGGCTGGTGGCTGTGGGCTTGGGCTGCCTGGCGTAGGAACGGACTCAGGGCTTGTCAGGGGCCGCAGTAGGGGGAGAAGGATCTCTGTTCCTGGATTCTCTTGGTCCAACTGTCTCAGAGCTGCCAGGTTCAGAGGTGTTACCCAGGAAGAAGGTGTGCTTGGAAACTCCCCCTCCCCCCTGAGAAGCATTTGTAGAAGAAACCCCTCCGACTCTTTCTAGACACCCCAGTGCAGGTCACAGTCCCACGGGGAGACTCTCAGTGGGAATACTTTTTTTTTTTCAAGCAATAAACACAAATGCT